ACGACTATGATGACTATATGCTTCATGCATAGTCACCAATTCATAGAATTATGTATTACATGTTATTATTATATGCATTACTACACATCTCCTCGTTGGAATATATTGTTAAACCATTATGTTTGGCCTTCCTTTTTGTGAGGTAGAAAATTTTGTCTAGCAAACTGATGTATTCAGAGTATACTATATAAATATGGCAACTATTTTAATGTTATGAGATTCTTGTGTGGTATGTTCTGATTACTGAATTGCAGTCTCAGTGTATGTCTCTTTTACTACGATGAATACCAATGTGCAGTCTCTGTGTAATTTTTTTTCTCCTCTCCCAGTATGTTTCTATGTTATGCACACTTAAATTTGGTTGGGAAAGTATTAAAGCTCAGAATAGTTCTTGACCTGTAAATTTGTTTGGTTGGAAAGTAATTAAAGCTCAATAGCTTCCTTGAACCTGTTAATTGTTAGGAAATTGATATTTTAGTTTGGCTACAAATTGAATGCTTCAACATGTAATTGCTAAATATTACTCATTCTTCCTCTGTTTGCCCTCCAAATCAAAAAAAGGACAAATCAAACATGGGAATGCACCAATATTAATTACACTTTTCACGACTCCTTATATTTTTCATCAAAATTTTACTTTTAGTCCCTTATATTTCAAAATCGAAACAATTTGATCCACTACATTTTAAGTTGTAATTTTAATTTGGTCCTTTTCATCCAATTAGGAGTTAAAAAATAACAATTTTGAAACACCAATCAATTTTTTTAAGGTGTATACGTAGACAAAATTAATAGAAAATTTATCGGAAGAACGCAAATTGAAATTGAACTTGAAGGTGTAGGACCAAATTATTTCAAATTAAAATAAGACTAAAGTAAAATTTGAGCCAAACTATATTGCGTGAAAAGTGTAATCAACCCCATAAGAAATTAAAAACTTTAAAGAAACTAAAGTACATTACATTGTTATCTTTCTCTTACACAACCTTACAATTTTCGCAATTTCAGTACACACTCTTAACTCAGTATAGCTTAGTGCTTGAACTAATTAAACCAAATTTTTCATTCACCATCTATCTAGAAAATACAACAGTTAAACAAAACCATCGTCATTGAATTCACTCAAAAATGGTGATCCGTGCTCATCAAAAGATTCTCTCCTACAAGGTGTTAAAATGATTATTGTTCAATATATGGAAACATCTATGCAAATAGTGGGGAGGATATAAATAAAACCAGGAATTTAAAGGTACCAATGGAAGTTTTCTCGAATTTACCTGTAAAAGCTCTTCGATAACGTCTTCATGTTATTATGCCGACAGCTTCCTCTACTTCAGGAACTTGGAAGCCGGCTGCGTCTATCTGCCAGGGATGTCGGAGTACATTTTTCTTTGTCCACTCTTGCTCCTAGAGGGCGTCCGTATAAATTGTTTCTGCTATTGGGAAAACTTTTCACTTTCTGGAGTGATATTTTGGCCCTTTAAGCCTTCTCATGACGGAGTCTTTTTCACCATCAATGTCTACCTTCATTCTGTCACTGAATTTGAGAAAGAGAGAGAGCATCAGAAAAAAAAATTGTCCAACCAAAAAAAAAAAAAAAAAAAAAAAAAAAAAAAAAAAAAAAAAAAAAAAAAAAAAAAAAAAAAAAAAAAAAAAAAAAAAAAAAAAAAAAAAAAAGCCATTCAAGCATCGAAATGGAGCTTACTTATGGTGTTAGAGACAATCTTAACAATGGCAATGGATCGAAGTCCCGTTGAGGGTGTTAATCACGCAGAAGAATACAATCTGGAAGAGGAAAAACATAGAGAAATCAAAGTGGTAATTGAACTATGTTTGTCCAATATATATTAGCATATGTGGCTGTAATCAATGGTTACAACCTTATTGAAATTCAAAGTCAACTGATCACCATGTTTCTAAACCATTGTGCTTTCATTCAAATCTTAAAAACTTCCTAGTTCTAGGTAACTTCTTCCTGCGGGAAGATTGAATCACCCATATAAGGAATTTGATTTGGTGTGAGAGGGGCCACCATATTTATGGTGTGTGACCTCTCATACCTTCAAGAGCAGGGCTCTTGCCTAGAAGACTGGTCCTCTGTCTTGTGCACTGCCTACAACAACAACCATGTGACTGTGACCTTTTTGAAACTCATTTCAAGATGTCATATAAGGGCATAGTTTCCGAAACCCTAGAACATAAAAACAAATGATTTACATTCTCGTCGTAATATAAAATAATCAAATTTAAATTTTCTTTTACATAATATAGTCATACAAAATTAAAATAAAATTAAACTTTTTTGGTTAAGTTTGTTGATGATTTTTGATGCTTTTAATTTCGATTTTCGATCTAAAAGGTAAAATACGTTGCCCTTCTTTTGTAGTCTAGTTTTTGTGAATGCGTTCTGTACAGCTGGTGCGTGAGCAAGGAAGGTGTTTTGTGGGACAAAGTGCTCTCAAAATTTATTGGGGTGTGGAAGCGGGAATATTGGCGTCATATGGAGTGAGAACACTAAGACAATCAATGACACACGACAAGTACTACAACCTTCTGTTCAGAACAAGAAAGGAAAAATTCCTAGAAAAATGGAAGCATGTTAATTGGAGGAGCTTATTGCTTTTTTCCAATGAGATATAATATCCTATCGCTAGAATCCTCTGTCCACGAACTTTCTCAAGCAACAAATAGATTTTGCTTCTCCAATCAAATTGTGTCTCGACTATGTAGCTGCTTGTATTTATAGGGGTCTAATTTTTGTTAACAAAGTATGATGATTCCTAACGCGTCATCTGCATTCCCAATGAAGTCAAGTCCTTTGCTATCGTTGACCTAGTGGTTACAACATTGATGAGTATCACCAAGAATGTTTTAAAGCTAATAGGTTGTTGCCTAGGACTTGTGAATTTCCCAGCTTTGTGTTGTTATGAATAACACAGGGAGGTTATTGAAATCATTAGCCACCCGCTTTATGAAAGGGAGGGGGAAAAGGAGACATGATGGAGAATCAATGGCGTTATTATGTGGGAAAAGTAGGCTAAAGTTCGCATATGACGTTCTTATGCTATTGTTACATGCATACTGCGTTTTTCAAACACCCATCATTATAGAGACCCTTACACAAATCATATTATCATAAACCAATTGGCATTCTAACTTGATCAGATTTCTAGTTAATCTATGCCAATTCCTCCCTAAAAGAGCAGTGGAAGACCTGGTAATCGGCGGGGGACTATGGATACGCAAATCCTGAGTATGTGTATACATGGCGTTCTTACTTGCAGAAGTCCGATGTTTTAGGTTTTGCAATGATTTTCTTGAGCTTTTGGACTGGGGAAATAAGCATATTACAAATAAATCATGTGAAAGGTTAAACGCTCCCTTAATTTAATGAAATTTTTAGTTTTCCTCTCATTTGATACGGGTTTGATGCCACGATTGGAGCCCAAAAAGTAGCGTGTTTCATCAAATTTAAATTTGATGACAAATCTAATACTAGGGTTGGAGATGGTTTAAGCCTCAATTATTTCTCTTTCGTTTGTTAATCTAAAGCTTACTAGCTGAGTACGATTTTGCCTAATAAAAACACTTATATATATATATATATATATATATTAATCAGTCATTTTTTTTTCTCTTTCTTCTCTTTGTTTTTTACATTCTATACATTAATCAATTATTTTTTTTCTCTCATATCTATCTATTCAATTACAAAAAAAAAATAAAATTAAATCATCTCAAATTCCAAAACTTCAAAACTAAAATATACAACCAAACATATTTTAAAATTTTGTAAACTCTTTTCAAACAATTGTTTCAAAATTGTTTACAAAAAATTATTTTGTGAACTCTCTCAACTTTTGATTTTATTTTTTTGTTAGAAATAAATTTAGCTACACAATAATTATTCACACATCTTTGGAAGGGAATTGGAGAAAAAAAATACAAACTATTGTATTTCTTTCATATTTCAAATGATCAAATTACAAAGTTATATATATGACTCCAATGCTAAACTCTTAACATTCTAACATAATGATAATTCATACCAATATTTAGATGTACGTATTTCTCCAATTTTGTCTTTAAAAGTAAAGAACTTATTATTAAAATATTTAGAGACAAATTCTTGTCGTTGCGAGAATAATCATTAAAAGGTTGTCTTGAATTTTTTTTATTATTGAATAGGTTCTAATATTTGTGATTTGCCAAAGCAAGATAGCTGCCCCCTCTCTGTGTGGGCAATTTTGTGAATAATTTTGTATGGCAGGCGCAAGTGACTGATTACTGACAAACAATAATAGGAGGCTCTCTCACTCACTTGATGACGTTTGGACGATGAATATTATCGTCCATCTTTGATAATAAGAATGATTCAGATCAAGAAAAGAATTTCCTAGAAAACGGAAGCATGTTTTTGGAGGATCTTGTTGCATTTTCAAATGGCAAATATAATAGTTCTATTCGTAGATTCTCTATCCAAGAGCTCTCTCAGGCAACAAATGGATTTTGCTCCGATCAAATTGTGCTGGTTGGCGATTTTGAAATTTATTTGGGTTCTTTTGACAAACGCCTAATTTTAATTAAGAAGAATCGGTTATTTCGTAAAAGTTCCGAGGCTATCCGTGACATGGTGATTACGTCATTAATGAGTAGTCACAAGAATGTTTTAAAGTTAATAGGTTGTTGTCTAGGACTTGGACTTTCCTGCTTCAGTGTATGAATATGCAGCAGGAGGGAGTATCGAATTACTTTCCAAACGTTTGTACAAAAGTGAAGGCGGCATGGCAGAGAATGGAGAGTCATCGTCATTAACGTGGAAAAGTAGGCTAAAGATCGCAAATGACACTGCTTATGTTGTTACTCACATGCACACTGCATTTTCAACACCCATCATCCATAGAGACCTAAAACCGAGTAATATTATCATAGACCAATCTTGTGTTGCTAAATTATTAGATTTCTCCTTATCTATATCAATCCCTCCTGGAGAAACACAGGTGGAAGACGAGGCATATGGGACAGTTGGATTTATAGACCCTGTGTACATGTCAACGGGCTTTCTCACTAAGAAGTCCGATGTTTATAGTTTTGGTGCGATTCTTCTTGAACTTCTGACCGGGAAAAGATCCATGCACTTGCACTGTGACACGAATCAGCAATCCTTACAAGTATGGGTGAAAGACTCTGTAGAAAAGGATCAGTGCAATGAATTTGTGGATCCAAGAATTCTGAAAAACAGAGGAGGAATTGAGCAAGGACAACAATTACAAGCTGTACTAGCACTTGCCTTGAGATGCACCCAATATAACAAAGAAGATAGACCAGAAATGATCGACGTCACAAAAGAACTCAGGCGAATGCTCAAGTCTGATTGCCCTCCCTCCTCAACTCAACCATAATAATCCTTCATTTCTAAGATGATGATGACGACGACTATGATGACTATATGCTTCATGCATAGTCACCAATTCATAGAATTATGTATTACATGTTATTATATATGCTACTACACATCTCTCTCGTTGTAATATATTGTTAAACCATTATGTTTGCCTCTCCATTGTTTGTGAGGTAGAAAACTTTTGCTCTACAAACTGATTATTCAGAGTATATATATAAATATGGCAACTATTTTAATGTTATGAGATCTTGTGTGGTATGTTCTGATTACTGAATTGCAGTCTCAGTGTATGTCTCTTTACTACGATGAATACCAATTGTGCAGTCTCTGTGTATTTTTTTTCTCTCTCCCATATGTTTCTATGTTATGCACACTTAATTTGGTTGGAAAGTATTAAAGCTCAATAGTTCTTGACCTGTAATTGTTTGGTTGGAAAGTATTAAAGCTCAATAGTTCTTGACCTGTAATTGTTAGGAATTGATATTTTAGTTTGGCTACAAATTGATGCTCAACATGTAATGCATCAATATTACTCATTCTTCCTCTGTTTGCCCTCCAAATCAAAAAGGACAAATCAACATGGAATGCACCAATATTAATTACACTTTTCACCACTCCTATATTTTCATCAAAATTTTACTTTAGTCCTTATAATTTCAAATCGAACAATTTGATCCCTACATTTTAAGTGTAATTTTAATTTGGTCCTTTCATCCAAATAGGAGGTTAAAAATAACAATTTTGAAACACCAATCAATTTTTTAAGGTGTATACGTAGACAAAATTAATAGAAATTTATACGGAAGAACCAAATTGAAATTGAACTTGAAGTGTAGGGACCAAATTATTCAAATTAAAATAAGGACTAAAGTAAAATTTGAGCCAAACTATATTGGTGAAAAGTGTAATCAACCCCAAAGAAATAAAAACTTTAAAGAAACTAAAGTACATTACATTGTTATCTTTCTCTTTACACAACCTTACAATTTTCCAATTCAGTACACACTCTTAACTCAAGTATAGCTTAGTGCTGAAACTAATTAAACAAATTTTTCATCACCATCTATCTAGAAAATACAACAGGTTAAACAAAACCATCGTCATGAATCCTCAAAATGGTGATCCGTCTCATCAAAGATTTCCTCCTACAAGGTGTTAAAATGATATGTCAATATATGGAACCATCTATGCAAATTAGTGGGAGGATATAAAAAAACCAGGAATTTAAGGTACCAATGGAAGTTCTCGAATTTACCTGTAAAAGCTCTTCGATAACGTCTTCCATGTTATTATGCCGACAGCTTCCTCTACTTCAGGAAGCTTTGGAAGCCGGCTGCCGTCTATCTGCAGGATGTCGGAGTACATTTTCTTTGTCCACTTCTTGCTCCTAGAGGCGTCCCTATAAGAATTGTTTCTGCTATTGGGAAAACTTTTCACTTTCTGGAGTGATCTTTTGGCCCTTAAAGCCTTCTCATGAGGAGTCTTTTCACCATCAATGTCTACCTTCATATCTGTCACTGAATTTGAGAAAGAGAGAGAGCATCAGAAAAAAAATTGTCCAAGCATTCAAAGCATGAAATGGAGCTTACTATGAGTGTAAGACAATCTTAACAATGGCAATGGATCGAAGTTCCCGTGAGGGTGTTTAATCACGCAGAAGAATACAATCTGGAAGAGGAAAAACATAGAGAAAATCAAGTGTATTGAACCTATGTATTGTCCATATATATATAGCATATGGTGGCTGTTAATCAATGGTTACAACTTATTGAAATTCAAAGTCAATGATCACCATGTTTCTAAACCATTGTGACTCTTCATTCAAATCTTAAACTTCCTAGTTCTAGTAACTTCTTCCTGCGGGAAGATTGAATCACCATATAAGGATTTGATTTGGTGTGAGAGGGTCCACCATATTATGGTGTGATGACCTCTCATACCTTCAATGAGCAGGGCTCTTGCTAGAAGACTGGTCCTCTGTCTTGTTGCACTGCCTTACAACAACAACCATGTGACTGTGACCTTTTTGAAACTCATTCAAGATGTCATATAAGGGCATAGTTTCCGAAACCCTAGAACATAAAAACAAATGATTACATTCTCGTCGTATATAAAATAATCAAATTTAAATTTTCTTTTACATAATATATCCATACAAATAAAATAAAATAAACTTTTTTGGTAAGTTTGTTGATTATTTGTTGATGCTTTTAATTTTCGATTTTCGATTTCTAAAAGTAAATAGTTGCCCTTCTTTGTAGTCTAGTTTTGTGAATCGTTCTGTACAGCTGGTGGTGAGCAAGGAAAGGTGTTTTGTGGGACAAAGTGCTCTCAATTTATGGGGTGTGGAAGCGGAATATTGCGGTCAATATGGAGTGAGAACACTAAGAACATCAATGACAACGACAAGTACTACAACTTCTGTTCAGAACAAGAAAGAAAATTCCTAGAAAATGGAAGCATGTTATTGGAGGAGCTTATTGCTTTTTCCAATGGTAGATATAATATTCCTATCCGTAGATCCTCTGTCCACGAACTTTCTCAAGCAACAAATAGATTTTGCTTCTCCAATCAAATTGTGTCTCGACTATGTAGCTCTTGTATTTATAGGGGTCTTAATTTTTGTTAACAAGTATGATGATCCTAACGGTCATCTGCATTCCAATGAAGTCAAGTCCTTTGCTATTCGTGACCTAGTGGTTACAACATTGATGAGTAGTCACAAGAATGTTTTAAAGCTAATAGGTTGTTGCCTAGACTTTGAATTTCCAGCTTTGGTGTATGAATACACAGGGAGTATTGAATCATTAGCCAACCGCTTGTATGAAAGAAAAGGAGACATGATGGAGAATAATGGGTTATTAATGTGGAAAAGTAGGCTAAAGTTCGCATATGACGTTGCTTATGCTATTGTTTACATGCATACTGCGTTTTCAACACCCATCATTCATAGAGACCTTACACCAAATCATATTATCATAAACCAATTTGGCATTGCTAAACTGATAGATTTCTAGTTATCTATGCCAATTCCTCCCGGTAAAAAGCAAGTGGAAGACCTGGTAATCGGGGGGACATATGGATACGCAAATCCTGAGTATGTGTATACATGCGTTCTTACTGAGAAGTCCGATGTTTATGGTTTTGGCATGATTCTTCTTGAGCTTTTGACTGGGGAAATAGCATATGACAATAAACATGGTAAAAATCGTGAACTTTTAAATAATTGCGTGGAAGACTATGTAGACAATGACCAGTTCAATGAACTTGTTGATCCTAGAATTCTGGAAGGAGGAACCGTGCAAGAGCAACAATTTCAAACTGTAATAGCACTTGCCTTGGGATGCACTGATTGATGTAGCAAAAGAACTCAGGCGAATACTCAAGTCTGTTAGCACCTTGTTACCTCAACAATAATAGTCCATTTATAAGATAGTGACCGTGCTTCATTCATAGTCGCCAATTTATGCATTGTATTACAAGTTATGCTACTCATCTCTCATTGTTTTACATTGTTAAACTGTTCTGTTTGTCTCCACCACCCCTTGTGAGATAGAAAATTTGTGTTATGCATTATGATTATTTACTAGTTATAGCTACCATATCATTCCTAGGTTCTTTAATTTCTAGAATGCCCAAGTTTCAGGACTTCAATTTTAATGTTATGCGATCTTCTGTTCCGATTACTGAATTGCAGTCTTAACCCATTATAGAATTTTGGAGTATTAACTTTACCCTCACATTCACAATATTCTTGAACTCAATGAACAAAATGCCTACTTCATTTAAGCATATATGGCTATGGAACTTTTGTTTATATATCACTAATCTGTACACACAATTCAATTCCCATTCTGCTGCAATAACAATTTTTTGTTTTGCATAGAATGCACAAGTCAGATTTTGATTCAAAAGCAAGTAGCCCTCTTTCATAGTACAGTTTTGTGAAGCATTTTGCGTGGTGGGTGAGCAAGGAAGGGTATCGTGTGTGACAAAATACGATCATTGTATGGGTTGTGGGAGAGGAACATTATTGTCAATCTTGAATAAGAGCAACCTCTGTTTGGATAGAGAAATTAGGACATTCCTGGAAAAAAATGGAAGGATATTATTGGAGGAGCTCTCTGTTGAGGAACTTCATGAGGAAAAGGAATTCATTATTCACTAATTATAACAAGCATACAGTTGAGATGTTTTAATTCATAAACTGGTTACCCGATTGCCACCTCTATCCTGGAGTAATGAAAGCATTCTTTTCATTCGGATTAATTACCCTTTGTAACAGGTCTTCTAATATTAGTTAAAATTTCCCTCCATAGAATGAATGGACCTGGTCATACCAAAATGATGGTTTTTGCATTTTTTGGGTTAGTTGAATCCAAAATTTTACCAAACAGAATTCTATCTGTATATCATTTACCCAGTTGCAATATACATGTATCAGGACTCATATATATTTTTCTCTTTGCATAATTCATTTGTTCTATGTCGTTTTGTAATTATCGATCATAGTCCCTTTTGTGATATATTTTTTGTGTGAGTGAATTTTTGACCACACTGCCAACTCAGTATCCAGCTGGAGAATACTGGCAGAATAGGATAAACCCGAACAACCTGCAACAGAAAGAAGAGATTCCGGTGGTGGTTCGTTCACCCGGGGGCACTCCGATGATTAAGTCAATAATCAAATATCTCTCAAAGATAATCAATAGTGCTAAACTCACTGTTCTGAATATAAATTGCGTACCTTCAACCCATGGGGTGCCTCTCTTTTATAGTTAACTCAATCCTAGTCCCAATAGAAGCCTAGCTCTAATGGACTTAGGATTACTGCTAATCTTGGACTCCCAGTAGGATTAGGATAAACTCTCTAAGAGTCTAATCTTTACCCAAACTGAAGTCTTCTCCCATTCTAGGACTCTTGTCCCTTATCCGCTTATCCCGAATCTCGATATCTTCAGAGACAACCTCGGCCTAGCCGAGATCACCTCGGCGTCATGACCAGGACACGTGGCACCTCGGCTGACACGTCGGCGTCACTTTAGCCACGTGTTGGTACTTAGAAAATGCATCCCCACAACTACCCCCTAGGTTCTATTACCTCGGCACTCTGAGGTGATGGAACCTATATCAGTGCTTCCTCCCAGTACGTCGGCTTAAAATCTTTCAGCCGAGATCGTTATACAGGCCGATATGTCTTTTTTTAAAGAACAAGAATTCCAAGAGCTCCTTTACGTGTATGAGCTGTTGTGCATAATAGCTCAACCGTTTTAGCCACGCGTCCTCCTCTTACTGGATCGTACTTGATACGCGCCTGCAAGTCGAATTTTTCTTGTGAGCGTCGTCTGACGCATACATCGTTTTAGGCACATTAATTGCCTTTTTGCCGCTGTTTCGAGTTTTGACAAAACTTCCCTCCTTCCCCCATCTTTTCACTCTTCTCCATCGTTTCTGAGGCTTTCTCTCTCTCTAGATTTTTTTCAAAAAGATCTGCCATTGTTCAAGCTTTCCTTGCTCTGCAACTTGCTATATTCGTCTCCTCCGTCGCGATTTTCACCATTTTACCGCTTTTGCAACCGTTGTCTGACTTCGGCGATCCTCATACTGGCTTCACTTTTTCTGGTAAGCCTCTATTCCTCCTGGTTTTAGTTCTTGTTGCTCTTCAAGAAGTTTCACTTCATTACTTGTTGCCATTGCTGTTTTGCTCAAATATTCGATTTATGAATCATGTATCTGAGTGTTTCTATTTCATGACTTTGCTTTTGCCCATGTCTTGAATACACACACTATTCACAATTTTTTTGCACTTTTGTCACTGTTCTTGGCCTTATACCCTTGCACTCACTCTGGCATAGTGTTCTTGATAGTTCATCACTGTTCTTGATTCTGAAACACATTCTTGCTTTTCTTTTTTTTGTGTCTTTTCCAGATTCGTGCCTTTAATCTTCGTTTCCATAGATCTAGGTTTGGGATTTGTTTGTAGAACCCATGAACTTTTAGGAAGAACTGAAACGATCCCCACAAATTCTTACCCCAGCTTACTTTTAGCTTTTTGCCGAGGTCCATATAATCCTTACAAAACACCTTTTTTTCTGAAATCTAGCTCCCACAATTTAAGCCGACATCATGGGTATGTGGAAGCATAGGGTAGATACCCCGACCAAGTTAGAGCACTTTAGGCGAGAGTTTGACATCTCAACCGACGTCCATCTAAGATTGGCTGGGGAGGATGCCTCCATCATGCCCACAACTGATTCTATGCCCTTCCCTGTTGTAGCTTTTATCGAGTGCGGACTTCGGCTCCCACTCAATATCTTTTTCCGTGAGATAATCCATTATTATAAGTTGAACCCAATGCAGCTTGCCATCAATTCCTATCGAGTCATAAATGGTATAATAGCCTTAGCTAAACAAGAAAATGCTAGGGTTACTTTAGCCGACATTCAATACTGCTACACCATGTGTAGCCTCAAAAAAGACACATGCTATATTTACTACCTTAAACCAAGGTCCACAGAGTACAAAATCGTTGCCGACCTCTCAGACTCTAACAAGGGAGCTGGGGATGACTACTTTATTACCACGGGAAACTGGGAGTTCACTCCAGATGAGGACCTCCACCTCTACCCTCTTCCTTGAACAGTCTTTATAGAGGGTAATGGTAAGAGCCCAGTGTTTGTACTTTATTCGCTTTTAAAGTCTTCAATACTTCGTTTATTCTAATGTCTGTTTTTCTTGCAGCTCTCCCTCAGCCACCAAAGGGCTTCCGCCAGTCTTTCTACCCCAGCAAAGACTTGAAGAAGCAACTAGATCTGCCAGTCCATAAACGCAGAGCCCCTTTGGTACTCAATTTCATCCCAACCTACAAATTAGTACTCCCCGACGTCCCAAAAAGGAAGAAAAGCCAATTGCCCCTTTCTGCCACAACTCCTCAAGCTGCCTCCACATCTCAGCCTGATCAAGGATCGACCTCTGATCTAACTGAGCAGCCATCAACCTCGGCTCCATATCTGATCCCACCATCCCAACGCCAACGCCGGCGACGAACTGTTTTTGCTGCTAAGATGGGCCGCCAGAAAGCAGTTGCAAAAGATCTCCTGGCCAACATTCCATCCACCATAGACGCTCAATCAGTACCAACACAGCCCCCAAAGCCAAAACAAAAAAGGATAAAGAAGGCTCAGCCAAAGGCAACGGTGACTCAGATTGATACTGAGGACATCTTGCCAATTTCGAAATTGGTTTCAAGCGAGAAGACCGCCTCTGTTCCCAAGAAGAGGCCAGCCGAGGACTAACCATCCGAGTCCACAAGATCAAAAAGGCCGAGGTCTTCTTCTGCGACAGCTTCGGGCTCCATGAAGTCTGACTCCCCTTGGGCCCCCAAATCACACTGGAAGACAGGCCAGTGAGGGCTGGCGATAGTGCCGACGACGTAAATGTCGGCGTTGCTCTTAGTACCCCGGCGATCTTAACTGGAACGCCGATATGAGCGAGTATGAAAACTTTGCTCTGATGCTCCAGCACTCTGTTCAAGTAAGTCTCTTTATTCGATAATTTTTCTTTCTTTCTTTTCTGTACTTAGAAAATTTTCTAATAACTTCTGCTCTGTTCACTTTTAGGCCATCCAGCATGCTCATTCTTTCTCAATGCAAGCCTTTGAGAATCGGAAGGAGCTGGCCGACAAGAAGAGGAAGGTCTCCAGTTTGCAGAAGACCAATAAAAGCTTACAATAAAAAATGCAGACTTTGGCAGACCAGGCCGAGGCTGTTGTCAAAGCCAAAGACGATGCTGAGGAGAAGACATATTCTGCGGAGCGCATCAAGAATGTTCTTGAGGCCGAAAAGAAAGAGGCCGAGGAAAAGATGGCCCAGGCCCAGAAAGAACTGCAAGATGCCTTGGCCACGAAAGACGCCGAGCTCAAGGCCACCAATCAGAAGGGATACAATGAGGGGGTGACCGATGTCACGGCGGACTACGAAAAACAAGTGAAGCAGGCATGCAACAAGGGTTTCACCCTTGGTTAGATGACTTTGCTAAAAAAACTTGAAGTCCCCGAGGACTCCCCCCTCAGAAATGCCGACGTCCTTCCTCTTCCATTCCCCCCAACTCCAAGCCAATCCGACGACGATTCTGAGTCTGAGGATGAGGCTTTGGTGAGGAAGTCAAAGGAGGCTGATGGGGGCCAAGTCCCCTGCTCAAAATGAGCAAGTCTTGGACTTGACTCAAGATGAGGAGGGTGAGGAGGTTCCCAAAGACACTACTCTTGAAAAGGCAACGTCGGACGTTCCTACTACCGATAAGAGCCTCGACCAAACACTCCAAGAAATAAATGTCGAGCTCGCGGCTGAAAAAGCAGCCGAAATGTCTTCTCAGCGGTCTTCTGAGCTCCAGCCCCAAGTTGCCGGTGGTGTCGATAAGTCTTAATTTGATGTTCTCCTTCTTTTTTCTATATTTTGCACTTTGTTTTTCTTTTGAAACAATGTAAGCTCTTCACATGGCCGATGTGCCTTCTTATAAATACAACTTCTTTTCCTAAATGTTTGTATCTTTATCTTCCCTTTACTGCTCTTGGATGACTTTTATACTTGAATAATTTTGTCTTCAATATACACCTTAGCCTTGAGCCACCTTCTCGAGGTGATACACCTCGGTTATACAAGCCAATGGTGTACCTCGGCAAGTACATAAGTACTCAGTTTAATGCAACCTTGGTCTTAACTTGTAAATTTTTCACAAATTTAAACAAGTGTTAAACATTATCTCGGCTAACTTCAACTTGTAAATTTTTCACAAATTTCAACAAGTGTTAGACATAACCATAGTTTAACTTCAACTTGTAAATTTTTCACAAATTTCAACAAGTGTTAAACATTATCTCGGCTAACTTCAACTTGTAAATTTTTCACAAATTTTAACATGTGTTAGACATAACCATAGTTTAACTTCAACTTGTAAATTTTTCACAAATTTCAATAAGTGTTAAACATTATCTCGGCTAACTTCAACTTGTAAATTTTTCACAAATTTCAACAAGTGTTAGACATAACCATAGTTTAACTTCAACTTGTAAATTTTTTACAAATTTCAACAAGAGTTAAACATTATCTCGGCTGACTTCAACTTGTAAATTTTCACAAATTTTAACAAGTGTTAGACATAATCATAGTTTAATTTCAACTTGTAAATTTTTCACAAATTTCAACAAGTGTTAAACTATTTTTAGCTTGTATATTCTATTTTTCCAGGAACCATTTTCCAACTCTGTCCCTCCTAATGTGAACTTAAGTTGCACTTGGGTTCTCATTATGCATGTATTCCAGAAACCTCGTCAAGTATCTTTATCAATCATAAGTGTAGAAAAATCAAACTAAGATTTTATTTATTACTTCGGTAAATAACAAAGAACATGATAATCTAATGATAGAAAAATTTCAGTTTGAAAGTATTCCAAGGCCTTGGCAACTCTTTGCCTTCATTATCTTCAAGCCGATGTGCCCCATTGCCCAATACGGAGATGATTCTATAGAGTCCCTCCCAATTTGGGCCAAACTTGCCCTCTTTGGGATCCTTCTTGTTGCCGACGACCTTTCTCAAGACGAGGTCACCGATTTGAAACTCCCTTGGGTTGACCTTCTTATTATAGGCCCTAGCAAGCTGCTGTTGGTAAGCTGCCAGTTGAATTGCAGCTCTCTCCCTTCTTTCTTCTAGTAGATCCAGATCTCGGGCTAACAATACATCATTGGTCCCATTTTCAACTCCCTGAGTTCTGATCCCTAGGATGCCGACTTCTAGAGGAATGACTGCTTCTGTGCCATAAGCCATGGCAAATGGGGATTCCCCAGTTGATTTTCTCGGCGTAGTCCGATACGCCCAGGGTACACTTGGCAGTTCATCCACCCACTTTCCCTTTACTGCTTGTAGCCTCTTCTTTATCCCATCCAAGATACCTTTGTTGGATGCTTCTGCTTGTCCATTGCTTTGTGGAAAGCTTGGGGTTGAAAAGTAATTCTTGATTTTGAATTTTGCACAGAAGTTCTTGATTAGCTTACTGTCAAATTGTGTTCCATTGTCGGCAACTATTGCTCTTGGAATCCCAAATCTGGTGATGATGTTTTTCCATATGAAGTTCTTCACATCCACGTCTCGGATCTTGGCAAGGGGTTCAGCTTCTATCCATTTGGTGAAGTAATCTGTTGCTACCAGCAGGTACTTCATTTGCCCAGTTGCTTGGGGCAGTTTGCCAACAAGATCCATGCCCCATTGGGCAAACGGCCAAGGAATGGATACTGGGTTTAGGTCTGCTGCTGGTTGGTGTATCAATGTTGCAAACCTTTGGCACTTGTCACACTTCTTGACATAGGCTTCTGCATCTTTCTGCATGTAGGGCCACCAATACCCTTGCGTAATGGCCTTATGAGCAAGTGATCTGCCCCCAGCGTGGCTTCAACATATTCCTTCATGTATTTCATATAAAAAATCTTCAATTTGTGAGGGATGTACACACCTTACAAGGGGTCCAGTGAAGGATCTTCTGTAGAGATGTCCCTCTGCTGTGAGGCTGAATCTTGCTGACTTCAATCTGATCTTGTGTGCCTCTTTGTGATCATCTGGCAGTTTTCCTTCTTTCAGGAATGTTATTATTGCGTCCATCCAGCTTGGTCCCGTGTCTACACACATTACTTCACGCTCCGTCGTTAATGATTCGATGCTCGGGCCCGACAAGTAATCAACTATTATCGTCCTTGCCTTTCCAGGTTGTATTGCACTAGCCAAGTTGGCCAGGGCATCGGCGTGACTGTTATCATCTCGGCTAACTTGATGAAGTCGGCAATTCTGAAACAAGGCCACCAATCTGCCTATTTCATTTGCGTATGCCGACATACGTTCATCTCGGGTTGCGAACTCGTATGTTGCTTGGTTGACTATAAGTTGAGAGTCACAAAATACTATCACCTCATCTGCTTCTACTGCTACTGCCAGTTTCAGTCTTGCAATTAGTGCTTCATACTCTGCTTCATTGTTTGAGGCCTTGAACCCCAAACGAATGGATTGCTCTAGTATCTGCCCATCTGGAGATACTAGTACTACTCCTGCCCCCGCTCCTTGTCGGTTTGAACTCCCATCAACAAACAGTCGAAAGGAGTCACCGATGTAAATGCTGCAGGGCCTTTGTTTTTCTTCTTCCCTCTGTTCTGTTGCCCTCTGCTGGGCTCCTTTTTGCTCGCTTGGAAGCCGTTCATCTTGACTCGATGGAGCCCGACGTACGATGGCTCCTGGAGTGAACTCAGCCACAAAGTCGGCCAAGACTTGGCCTTTGATTGCCGTTCTGGGTCTGTACTCTAGGTCATACTTGCCTAAGGCCACTGCCCATCTGGCTATTCTTCCTGTCAGATCTCCCTGTTACAACAGGGACTTCAAAGGGTGTTCAGTTAGCACCATAATTCTGTGGGCTTGAAAATATTGGTTTAGTTTCTTTGAAACCATTACTAATGCCAGCGCCAACTTCTCTAGGGGTAAATACCTGGTTTCTGCATCCGTCAGGGTTTTGCTTACATAGTAAACAGCTCTTTGCTCCCCTTTTTCTTCTCGGATTACCACTGCGTTTACCGCATGCTCTGAAATTGCTAAGTATAGGAACAACTCCTCTTCAGGTTCTAGATTTGAGAGAACTGGAGCCGTGGTCAAATACTTCTTTAAGTCGACCAGGGCGACTTCGCACTCCTCTGTCCATAAGAAGTCTGTGGCCTTCTTCAATAAGTTAAAGAAGGGTTTGCATTTGTCAGAGCTCCTGCTTATGAACCTGTTCAGGGCTGTAGCCCTTCCAGTCAGCATCTGCACTTGTTTTGTCGACGTCGGGCTCTTCAACTCAAGGATGGCCTTGACCTAATCTCGGCTGGCCTCAATGCCCCTTCTGGTCACCGGGTATCCCAAGAACTTACCAGATCCAACTCCAAATGCACACTTCGATGCATTGAGTCGGAGCCGATATGTTTTAAGGATGTCAAAGACTGCTTTTAGGTCGGCCAGATGACCCTCAGGTTCCTTGGTCTTCACGACCATGTCGTCGATGTAAACTTCTACTGTTCTACCAATTAAATGTTTGAACATCTTGGTTGCCAATCTCTGGTAAGTTGCTCCTGCGTTTTTCAACCCAAAAGGCATCACTCTGTAGCAATACAGCCCTTTTAGAGTGATAAACGCAGTCTTCTCCTCATCTGGTGGGTCCATTGCTATCTGATGGTATCCCCTGTAGGCATCCAGGAAGCTCATCCTTCCATGCCCTGAAGTGGCATCCACCAGTTGGTCAATCTTGGGTAAAGGAAAACCGTCTTTGGGACAGGTCTTGTTCAGGCTGGTAAAGTCCACGCAGACCCTCCATTTACCATTCTTTTTCTTCACCACCACTGTATTTGATAGCCATGTTGGGTAATTTACCTCTTGAATGGCTTTGGCCTCCAGTAGTCTATCTACTTCTTCTTCCACTACCTCAACATGTAGCATCGTTGGTCTTCTTGCCCGTTGGATCACGAGTTTGGCCGACCTGTCTACGTTCAGTATATGGCAAGTGACCTCAGGGTCAATGCCTGGCATTTCGTAAGGCGTTCAGGCAAACACTTCAATGTTTGCTCTCAAGAAGGCCTCCAACTCTTTTTCCTCTTCCTCAGCTAAGCTCGAGCCGAGAAGGAAAAAGCGTTCTTCATCCCCCTGCTGGACGAGGATTTTCTTCAGTACTTCTTCACTCTTCTCGGTTGGCTCTTTGCCGACGTCCTCTAGGACCTCCACATCCTCGTCTTCGATCTCTGCCCTTTCTGACTCTCGTATGCTGCAGGTAGATTTCATTGCTGCCATGGAGAAGTTTTTTGCCTGCAGCTAATCTCCTCTGAC